GCCGACCCTGGCAGGGGCGGGTGCACCCCGAGGGCCGGGCCGGGCCTCGCCTGCGGCTTCCCGGAACAATAAGTCCCAGGGCTGCGTGTTGTAGGCGGGTCCCGGAGCTGGAGGGGAGCCACCGCTACCCCTCCCCGGGCGATAGCCCGAGCCCCTCAGGACACCGGCCTTCTTCCCTCGAAGCCCGCCACCACCCGCCGCCCGAAGCCCGGGAGCCCTCGGAGAGCCCGGCCTCCACGCCGTGAGGTAGCGCAGCGGCCGCTCTCGCCCCTTTATTTCTTCTCCCTAGCCTCTTCATCCCGCTCTCCTCGCGAACGGAAAGCCAGCTAAGCTGGGGATGCTTCTTGGGCTGGGCTTCTCGGACACGCCCCCCTCCTTCAGCCTCCCGCCGCCCCCCCCCCCGTGGCCCCCCCACCCCCCGCCCTCCCCCCACACCCCCTCACCCCCCCCCCTTCCCCGTTTTTCTACCCTTACCCCAAAAGGCTGAAAGGCAATGTTCGTTGTTTAGGCCTCGAAGGCAATGACTGGGGAAAAGGTTATTAATTGCTCTCTTGCAAAAGAAAAAAAAAGTTAGATAACGTGAAACTACGAGCTTTTTGTTTCTGGAAGGAGAAGTTGGACTGCGCGAGAAACTGTTAGGTAAACTTACACGACACCGAATGTATAGTAGTTGAGTATCATTAAAGAGACAGTAGAGAGTTCAAATCGTTGTGGAGTTTTGGGGGGAAGAATAGCCACTAATTTTTAATTGGATTTACCAATAAATTGAAATGTGATTTAGCAGAAGTCCTTCACTAGCTAACTTTGTCGTGTTGTTGTTTAGACAGGATCATCTGTAGACTTCCTTTAACACTTGAACGTACACCCTCTTGAGTGCTGGCATTCTGGGTTTTAACAAGTTTTTTTGGTTCGAGACAGGGTTTCTCTGTGTCTCTCTAGCTGCTCAAGACCTCAGTAGACCAGGCTGACCTTGAACTCAGAGACCCGCCGGCCTCTGCCTCCCAAGTGCTAGGATTAAAGCCGTGTGCACCATCGCCCCGCCCTCTCTTTTAAAGTATATTTTTAAAATTGTGTCTATCTGTATGGTGTGTGTTGAGGACACCCATGTGGGGACTAGAGAACATGAGCGAGTCCATTCTCTCCTCCCAATATGTGGGTCCCAGGAATGTAACTTTCATCATAAGGCCAGGCAGCCAGTGCTTTTATAGGCTGAGCCATCCCCTGATTTTTTTTTTTTACTTGTATTAGGTAAGCAGTATCTATTTTCTCTTTATCATTATTTCATATAGAAGTTAATCGGGCTTTATTTTTTAGGCAGGGTCAAGATGCACCAAACTCTTCGGTGTCAGTCTCCCACAGCCATTTTGGTTTTTGTTCATGAGTTTTCGTCTGTGGCACTAGAATTTTCTGTGTACCTTATGCTGACCATAAACTCAAAATCCTTCTACTCCAGCCTCCCTGATGCTGGAAGTTACAGGTGCCAGACACCACAACCTGCTGAAGATGAAAGTTTAAATGTGAACAGATTCTCTCACTGATCTGAGAATAAAATGAGGTACTTGTGAAACCCTGAACTTCCCTTTTTCTTCACTTTTCTGTCTGTTTGTTTTTGAGGCAGGGTTTTGTGCGTCCCAGCTGGCCTTGATCTCTGTAGCCAGTGTTGACTTTAACTTCTCATCCTCCTGCAGCCACCACTCAGTGCTGAGATTACAGGCATGCATCACCCTAGCCAGTTTATTTGGTGCTGGGAATTGAACTCACGGCTTCTGAAATACTATACAAGCACTCCATCAACTGAAAAACATTCCCAGTTCATAAAACCCTAAACGTAACAGATGTCAACACATTTTAGGTTATTATAGTCCAATGGATAAGTTATATCTGGCACTATGTAAACCAATACCAGGCAGTTTCTAGCCATATGACACTGGGCATGACTATTTCTCAGGCTTCTACTGCCTTGCCTATAAAATAGAAGTGTATCTACCACACAGATAATATTGGTAAACATGTTTGTACAATGCCTCTTACTAAACAATAAGGTATATTTAAGGCTTTTTTTAAAAGATAGTTTGAATTTGTAGCCCAGGTTTGTCTTGAACTTGAAGTCCTCCTGCATCAGCCTTTGGTGGGCCACCATGCCCAACTCTTAGGTTTTGAATAGGTTTGGAGCACTTTGCCTTAAATACTCTATAAGCCACTGGCAGCCACTTGGCACTAGAACAGAGCTATTTTAGGTGGGAACAACAAGCTGAGAGGACCTAAGGTGGCGTGTGCAGGTTTCCCATTTCCTTAAAAAAACAAAGTAAATGGAGCTGGAGAGATGGCTTGATGGTTAAGAGCACTGCTCTTCTTCAAGGGGAACCGGGTTCAATTCCTAGCATCCACGTGGCAGTTCATGACTGTAATTCCAGTTCTAAAGGATCTGACACCTTCACACAGATGTGTAGGCAAAACACTAATGCACATAAAATAAATTTTTTTAAAAAGTAAGCAGTTCTTTTGCAGGGGGCAGAACAGTACTTGACAAGTGATGATAACATTAGTCTGGTCAGAACCTACTGGAGTAAGCATGTCAAACCATGGGGGTCAGTAGAAATCATAAGGCCCATAACTCTTTGGTTCAGAATTTTCAGTCAGGCAGCGTTTTTGAGAGTATTCAGGATTCTCTGGAGTCTGCTTTGCTGTGCCTATCTCAGGTTGGCCTCAGCCTCCAAAATAGGACTGTAAATATGTCCTACGGCATGCAGGCTAGATTCAAGGCAAAAACAGGCATCTTTGGAACACATCCTGGCAAGGGCATCAAGGTCATCCTCAGTTACATAGTGAGATTGGGGCCAGCCTGTACTATGGGAGACTCTGTCTCACAATATAAAAAACATGATTTGGATATCCTTTTTTCTTTTCAGCCCAGACTTGCCCTACAGTTCCCTATCCTCCTACCTCATTCTCTGTATTTACTGTGATCAGCTTCCTGGCCAAAGCAGTGAACATTTTTTACCTTATTGGATACCACTCCCCCTTTTTTTAAGACAGGGTCTCACTGTGTAGCAGGTGGCTTAGAACTCACTTTGTAGACCAGGCAGGACTTAAACTCAGAGATATAGCTGCTTCTGCTTCCTGAGAGCTAGGACTAAAGGTGTCAGCCACCATGCCCTGCAAGCCCATGCTTTTGTACAAAAAGCCCTCCAATGTATTTAAAGGAAAAAAAGGTCCAAAATCACCAACATAAAACATTCCCACGCCTAGAGTGCTGAATACCATAAAAACTTGAGAATTGCTTCTCCTAGTGGTATCTCCCATGGACCCAGACCACATCCATCCCATAACACCTCAGGGTGGCTACTAGTAGCCCTTTGGTAATTGATGAAAAAAAAGGAAGAAAGCCAAAGTGTGGTCATTCCCCACAGGTATGTCCTAGGATTTGGTAAAGGAATGGGAAAACGTCTTTAGAACAGGGGAACACCAGATGATCCTGAGCACATTCTTCAAAACTATTTGTACATTTTCCCCCTTCTGATGCTAAAAATTGAACCCAGTGGTTTGCATATGTTAGGTGTCCTAGTAGTTAGCTTTGTCAACTTGACTTAGCCTAGAGTCACCTGAGGAAAGCCTCAGCCGAGGAATTGTTTAGATCAGATTGGTCTGTGGGCATATATGGGGTAGTTATTAATGGAGGATGGCCTAGCCCACTGTGGGCAGCACATACCTAAGTAGCCAGTCCAGGGCTGCATAAGAAAACTAGCACAATTTCTGCTCTGATTTTTTGAAGTGATGGACTGTGTCCCGGAAGTGTAAGCCATTTTCTCCCCTAAGCTGCTTTTGGTCCAGGTGTTTTATAACAGCAACAGAATGAAACAGAACACTAAGCAAGCGGCCCCTTCCACTGAACCATATCCACAACCAATATAAAGACTTTGAACTAATATATTGACTAATATACAAACGAATACAGATTGACTGATACAACACATAAGCAATTAGATGTGTTCTAAGATAGTACTGGGTTGAACCTTTTTTCCCAAATGGCATTTTTTTTCTACACACCCAGGCCAGAGTTCTGACACAAATGGAACCTGACTAAGGCTTGGAAAAACAAAAGGTCATTCCCTGTTGAGTTCATAGTTGAACTAGAATTGAGTGGGAGGCTGCTTCCCACCCACTTACTCCTTTCTTACCTCCCTACCCAATCCTTTACCCCAAATAAGGATTGTCTCTCATCAACAGGAAGGCCACTGTTGAGGGTATGTTGGGTGATCCCCCAGTGCTGAGATTATGCAGCCATGTTTTTATGCATATATAGGGGATTCAGTCTTGGGTCCTCATGCCTGCAGAGCAAGCACTCTTACTCACTTAGACGTGTCCTCTGTCCCAGCTCATACCTGCCTCCTATAAAGTAATCCAAGGGCCTGAAGTTACCTCTGAAGTGCGGTCTGGAATATTTTCTCTCTGCCTCCCTTGAGAGGGCTTCCTCGTAATTCCACTGTAGGCCTCTATCATCTTGGGCTTTCAAGGGTATCAGATAGAGGATTCCTGTCATACCATGTTCAGGGTCAAAGCCTTGGCCCACAACACCAGGAAGAAAGACTGCATGGAAGTTCTAAACACATCACTCAGCAGAGGCTGCATTTCTTAGCCCCAAGGTACACTGGTCATCTGGGAAGCTCCTGGAGGCCTGTGTTTGTCCTGAATGAAGCAGTGAGCTCTTTCCCATGGTGCCATCACCAAGGACACAAGCTCCAGACCCTGAGGACTTGACTCAGGAGTAATGTTTCCTCTTCCCTGCTCAGGCCTGCTGCTGTCCAGGGTAACCTGGGTGCCTTCACTTGTATCTGTCTGTAGTCACACACTGACAGAGGGAGGAGGCAAGACAGAGAAGCTGCAACACCTACTCCACGTGTGTACTTGGCTGGAAAAGTCTAAGGTCAGACGCTCCTGGGCACAGGGGCCCAGTTCTGCTTCTCCCTCTCGTAGGCCACTAACTACACCTGATCCTCTTCTGGTTGCCAAGCTAGAAGGATGGGTTGAGAGAACTTAGACTTCTTTGGAGGGGAGCTGTAAGAAGTATTCTCAGACCAGGCTCATCTCAGGATGCCCACTGAAGAGGAAAGAGGCTGACAGGCAGAGCCTGAATTACTATTTTGATTTCCTACTCAAGTCTCAAGTGGCTTTTAGTTTTTATTTTTTGTTTGAGATCGGTTTCTTTTAGTCCAGACTGACTATGAACTAGATATGTAGCTGAGAGT